ATAGGTCATCATCTGCCAGAGAGATCTGTCGAATCAGTTTTCAAAAATGTTAAAAAATAAAAAAGTTATTAAAAAAGCGAAATTTGCGTCGCGTTTTTATTCCAAATTCACCCTAATCAACTCTATTATGCGTCTTCTTAGCCGATGGAGTGATATGTTTCAACTCCGGTTTATTAAAAATGTTTTTTTCTTTAGGCACAAATGAACTACCACCAGTTCAGACACAGAGCCCAAAAATTGCATTCGACGATAACGAAGGTAATCATATTTTTATCTTTCAACTTGTATCATTCTCAGTTCAACCAAACGTGATAGTCGTACATCAAACACTCTCGCTGCAGGTGAAACATATATTCGTACTTCACTACCGACGGAAAAAAAGAAATCACCTGATGCGTTATTTGACGTTGATAGAAATCGACGAGCTTCCGAGGCTATAAACCAGCATATTATACAGCCTGTTGCAGACAATGAAGCACAGTCAAGTGATGTAGAGCCTCATATGGTAAGTTACAACGCTGTCACATAAAGATGAACAGATGCGTCAAGTAATTCCGGAATTCCTAGTTATTCCTAGTTATTCCGGGGAATTCCGCGTGGAAGGAATTCTGGGAATTCCGTCATAGAAGAAGCTGTAGAGTTTTGATCATTGGCGTATATCACTATATGCTGCAAGTAATTCCGGAATTCCTAATAATTCCTAGTTATTCCTAGGAATTCCGCGTGGAAGGAAGTCCGGGAATTCCGTTAGTACGGAATTAGTGGGAACTGGTTCCTGGTCGGGAACTGATTGCGCAATGATCAACATCGCGGAATAGGATCTATTCTCGCAAATCTATTAATAGTTCAATTAATGTTTTATTTATAAAATGTAGTTTCTCGAATTAATCGAAAGTTTTTATTGAACTTTTAATAGAACAAAATCGTTTGTTTTTCATAAGAAAATTTTATTTTAGTGATTAAACATCTGAATGAAGATCAGATTTTACCCTTTGAAATATCCAAAATCAGCTCTAACTGAAACAATGGATTCAATTACCTTCTTTTCCTTGTACCTCTCAACGAAAATTTCTGCGTGAATCGTTCTACATATCATTCAATAGTGAAAATCTTAACAAAGAACATTTCATTTCTAAAGCATTTTTCCCTTTATATTCTTGTCACACAGATTTATCTTATCGTTTTACATAGACACTCAAAAAGCTAAATATGCGTGGAATTAGATTAATAGATGACAACGGAGCTTCGACTCCAATCGGAAATACAGGTGCTCAATATATTGCTGATGGACTCACAAGAAACAAGGTAACTCATATACACTTATTGTTATCACTCTCACGCAGGTCGTTATTTTACATAGACACTCACCACACTTAGCATCGCTCAGAACGGAATCGAAGAGCAAGGAGCTGAACATATTGCTAATGCTCTGAAGCAGAACGAAGTAACTCATGTAACCATATTTTCATCACATGCACTCATCTGATGATTTTACATAGAAACTCCAGACACTTGATCTTGGAGACAATGCAATCGGAGACCAAGGTGCTCGACATATTGCTGCTGCTCTCGAAAAAAACGAAGTAACTAATCTATTCTTATTATTATCAGACACACTCATCTCATTATTTTCAACAGACACTCGAGGAGATTCATCTGGACCGCAATGAAATCAGAGATCCGGGAGCTGAACACATTGGTGGTGCTCTCAAAACGAACAACGTAATTCATCTAACCTTATTTTCATCACATACACTCATTTTATCATTTTACAGGCACTCCACACATTGTATCTTGAATTGAACGAAATTGGAGATGAAGGAGTTCGACATATTGCTAATGGCCTCGCAAACAACCAGGTAACTCATCTATTCTTATTCTGTTCACACATATTCATCGTATCATTTTAAACAGGCACTCACTACCATTGATCTCTCTTACAGTCATATCGGACAAGAAGGACTTGAATATATTGAAAGTGCGCGCACAATCAACACAGTAAGTCATATACTTTTGTTCTTTTTATGCACATTCATTTCATTATTTAACATTGACACTCACCACATGTATCATCGATTCTAGCCAAGTTACAGAACGATCAGCTCTAAATGATGGAGAAATCGACAATATGATTGATTTGATTTGATATTTTTGCAATGTATTTTCAAATGATTGTTACATCCTTTTCTTTTTGTTTGTTAATCATTCTTTGAAAAAAAAGCAATAAACAATGTGTTCTCTTTCTCCCCTATTCCATTCTATACCTCCTCTTTTTATGCAACATAAAATATCATGGAAAAAAGAGAAGAATGCTAATAACATGATACGACGATAGCATACAGGAATAAAGTGAATCTTCTTATGTCAGACAATGATTTTGCGTTTTTCTGCATTAGAAAACAACAGATAACAAATCACATTAAATCTTAAAATCAAAACGCAACCTCTCTACTTTGCTTAGATATAGATTCGAACTTGTGAATCTTATTTTCTTTGTTGATGTGATCAAAGAGCGAGATTAAGAGACCTACAGATTTAAATAAAAAGTTTTATTTTCTAATGTTAGAGATGTAAATATATGTTAGAGCTTTCTGAAAATAATATAACTTGTAGTCAGTGGCGTAACTATCCGTAACCCATCCGGTTGCATGACCATCAAGACTGGGGTATCCCACAACTTCTGAACTTATTTGGAAACCTTGGCCTGAAGTTGTGGGAAACCCCAGTCATATCACATAAACCCAACGTGGAATAATTTTGAA